ATAACAATAACAACAATAATGATAATAAGATAACAACAAAATGATAATAACAAAATTCAACAACACAACATAAACCATAACCTGAGTAACACGTGATAACGATAATGATAATGCCTACAACCAAATCTGACGATAACAAGTATGACAAAAAAAAACTATAACAATAACTTTTTCTTCCAGGTGGTTGTGCAGTAACTTGAAGGACAGCACTAACGTATATTCGATCCACACCTCAATATACGGTTATAGAAACAGCAAAGGTGTTATTGTACCATACACCGAAGATCTCTGTATCCTTTTGAAGTTGTGATTTTGTGGAATCGGGGTTTCGTTGTTGTATTTTTGTTGCTTTTGTTGTTGTTTTAGTTGTATTTTTTGTTGATTTAGGTTCATTGTTTTTTTGTTGTTGTATTTGTTATATTTCTTGTTGTATTTTTGTTGTATTTGTTGTCGTTGTTTTGTGTAATTCAGGTTGTGATTTATTGTTTTGTGTGGTTATGGTGTTGTTGTTTTTGGCAATTGTGAAATTATTTGAATTCGTTTTATTGTTCGCAAAGAAATTTCCTCTATTTTCTAGTCTCTATCTATCTATTTCTCTCTCTCTCTCTCTCTCTTCTCTCTCTCTCTCTCTCTCTCTCTCTCTCTCTCTCTCTCTCTCTCTCTCTCTCTCTCTCTCTCTCTCTCTCTCTCTCTTCTCTCTCTCTCTCTCTCTCTCTCTCTCTCTCTCTCTCTCTCTCTCTCTCCCTCTCTCTCTCTCTCTCTTCTCTGCTCTCTCTCCTCTCTCTCTCTCTCTCCTCTCTTCTCCTCTCTCTCTCTATTTCTCTGGTCTATCTCTCTATCTATCTCTTCTCTCTCTCTTTCTCTGCTCTCTTTCTCTCCCTGCCCCCACCCTTCCTCCTCTTCCCCTCTCCCTTCCCTCTTTTCCACCCTAATCCCCTTTTCTCTGTCTCCTTCATTTCTCCTCCATTTTCTTTCCTTTCGCCGACGGAATTATCTTGCCCCATTTACATTCAAAAGGAAAATAGATGATCTGCCAATAATGTTTTCCCGGTCGTCAAATAGACCAAGGCGTAGTCGGATATACGTTTCTCTTTTCATTCTCTTTTTTTTTTTTTTTTTTTCCTTCGTTTCTGGGTTTTTCTCTTTCTCTTTCTTTCTCTTTCTTTGTCTCTCTGTCTGTCTGTTCTGTCTCTCTCTCTCTCTCTCTCGTCTCTCTTCTCTCTCTCTCTCTCCTCTCTCTCTCTCTCTCTCTCTCTCTCTCTCTCTCTCTCTCTCCTCTTCTCTCTCTCTCTCTCTCTCTCTCTCTCTCTCTCTCTCTCTCTCTCTCTCTCTCTCTCTCTCTCTCTCTCTCTCTCTCTCTCTTCTCTCTCTCTCTCTTCTTCTCTTCTTCTTCTTTCTTCTTCTCTTCTTCTTCTCTGCTTCCGTTAACTTTTTATTTCTTTTTATCTTTTCGTTTAACACTTTCATTTCCTTTATTTCGTTTATTATTTTATTTTTTTAAGATACTTTTTTCCCTCCTTTTCCATATTCTTTATTTTTCGTGTCCTTTTTTCTCTCTTTGTTTCCCTTTCTTCCTCTTTTTCTCTTTTTTTCTCCCTTTCCTTTTCCTTTTTTTCTTTTTTCTTTCGTTTCCTCCCTTCCTCATCCACTTTTCATCTTTTATTTCCCTTTTCTATCTACCTTTTCTATTTTCTTCTTTTTCTTTTCTTTTTCTCTCTATCTTTTTCCATTTTCTTCATTTTCTTTACCTTTTCTCTCTATCTTTTTCCATTTTCTTCATTCTCTTTTCTTTTTCTCTCTACCCTTTTCCTTTTTTTTCCTCTTTTTTCCTCTTGCTTTTTTCTTCATCTTATCGATCGGATTTTGATGTGTCGACACGTCTGTTCCCACGAGAATAATTCGTGCTTCTTTACGTGTCTTTCAATAAATGATATTATTTCGTCCCTCGTTCTCTCTCTCTCTCTACTCTCGCTCGCTCTTTCTCTTATCCTCTCGTCTCGCCTCTCTCTCTCTCTCTCTCTCTCTCTCTCTCTCTCTCTCTCTCTCACTCTCTCTCTCCTCTCCTCTTTCTTTCTCTTCTCTCTCTCTCTCTCTCTCTTCTCTCTCTTCTCTCTCTCTCTCTCTCTCTCTCTCTCTCTCTCTCTCTCTCTCCTCTCTCTCTCTCTCTACTCCTCTCTCTTCTCTATCTATCTATCTGTCGTCTTTATGTCTATCTATCTATCTGTCTGTCTCTTCTCTGTCTCTGTCTCTGCTCTGTCTCTAGTCTCTGCTCGTCTCTTCTCTGTCTCGTCCTCTCTCTCTCTCTCTCTCTCTCTCTCTCTCTCTCGCGTCTCTCTCTCTCTCTCTCTCTCTTCTCTCTCCTCTCTCTCTCTCCTCTCTCTCTCTCCTCTCTCTCCGGATCGTAAAAGGGTATTTGCGAAATTAACTTCTTCGGCTCGTGGGTTATAAGAGAATATTTCTTAGGTTATTGTAAGTTTTAGAGCAGTCGAGGAGTAGGTTT